CATCTGCCACGCATCCCCTGGGCATCCACCACGCATCCCCCACGCATCCCCTGAGCATCCACCATGCATCTGCTGGGCATCCACCACGGATCCACCACTTATCCACTGTGCAGCCATCACACATCCACTGCACATCCACCATGCAGCTGCTGGACGCACCATGCATACCAAATGCATTCACTGTGCATCCACCATACATGTGCTGGGCATGCGCCATGCATCTGCCACACATCCACCATGCATCTGCCACACACCAGCTGTCCATCTGCCACACATGCCCTGTGCATCCACCATGCATCTGCCACACATCCCTGGTGCATCCACTATGCATCCGGCACGCATCCACCGTACATCCACCATGCATTTGCCACGCATCCACTGTACATCCACCATGCATCTGCCACACACCAGCTGTCCATCTGCCACACATGCCCTGTGCATCCACCATGCATCTGCCACACATCCACTGTACATCCACCCTGCATCCGCTAGGCATCCACTACATGGGACAGCTCCAAGGAAGGGCATGAAACTACTGCAGAAGATTTAAATCCACTCTAACTCCCCCCAGATAGCACACACTTTCTGCTCAGAGGCGCCCAGACACCGCAATGGCCCTGTGCACCCTGGTCAGGTAGGGAGCACAGGGAAAGGTGTCCCCCCGTCCCGGGCTCTACGGCTGAAGGGCAGCCCTGGCGGGAGGCAGACTCTCCTGGGGCGAGGGAAGCGCAGCGCTCAACACTTCCGCAGCATGCAATGCAACTGCACTGCCCGGTGCAACTGCAGGACATGATGCGGCCACGGCGTGCGATGCAGATGCAGCATGCAATGCAACTGCACTGCCCGGTGCAACTGCAGTGCACGATGTGGCCACGGCGTGCGATGCAGATGCAGCATGCAATGCAACTGCACTGCCCGGTGCAACTGCAGGACATGATGCGGCCACGGCGTGCGATGCAGATGCAGCATGCAATGCAACTGCACTGCCCGGTGCAACTGCAGTGCACGATGTGGCCACGGCATGCGATGCAGCTGCAGCATGCAATGCCGCCGGCTCCGCAGT